CCCTGAAATCGCTAAACACTCGATCTGCCGAGCTGAAGTCCCCCTATAGCACAATACATCTCTAATTAACACTTTCCCAACTAGGGTTGACCATACCATAACCAGACAATCTAGGTCAACGCTGGTCAACGGTCAACTTGACCGGACTCGGCGAGTGCACTATAGCGACTCGGCGAGTCTGAGCGCATTCACCGATTTCCCTGGAATCCTCTCTTGACACGTCGAGCATCCCCTCCCAACTCGATGAGTTTCCACCTAGCACGAGTTGTGGGGCCACCACGACTCAACTCGCCGAGTCTCAAGAACAACTCGGCGAGTCCGGTTTGACTCGGTCCACCTGTCCATCCTGACTTCCCCTTGACCCACTGAGTTCACTCACCCCAACTCGGCGAGGCCACTCGCTGAGTGGTCGTGCAACATTCAAGCTACTCGCCGAGTCTGTTCTTCGGACTCGGCGAGTCCGTGCCATGCACTGACTCAATCTTGTTCTAAAGGCCAGATCCAGTCCACTAATCCATAGATCCAGTCCCCCCATGCTTATTTAGCACGTAAAGTCACAATCTTGATGCATAAATAACCTCTACATGATCACAAATGATGTTTTTGACTCTACTACTTCAACACAAGGCCAAGGACTCCATTTCCACCCATAAAGCTTGATGAGTGAGGCCCTCTGGACCTCTATGGATCCAGATCCATGGTCTCAACTCAAAGAGGGAACCAAAGGGGCACCAAATCACCCCATAAAAGATCATATTAAGCCCTAACTTGCATCAAGTTTCACCAAACAGAAAATGGTCCGAAAATAATACCTCTAGAGTGATGATCCAAGCTCCAAATCCACGAAATAGCAACCTCCTTTGCTTCCTCTTGTAACACTGTAAATTTCAAGACAATTTTTTTCATTTAAAATAATCATTTTATTCTTAGAAACACTTGTTTAAAATCTCATTCATATTCGATTTACAAAACATGACTCCATTTTCACTTGCATAGAAAACTAGGATCCTCCAAAATATGACTCTTTCTCTGGTGTGTACAATCAAGCCGGTGCCGTCCTGTGATACTGAAAGAAACCTGAAAAACATCACAAAAAACACTGTAAGCACGAAGCTTAGTGAGTTCCCCAAAATACCACACATAACACATATTAGCCACTCGAGGCTATAACTCTATGGGTCCGTGCACCCAAACTCTGTGAACCCTCAGGTTCTAACTCTGGGAACCTTCCGGTTCCAACTCTATAAACATGCACAGCATAAATCACATAGAAATAATGCAGTACAACACATCACGTACATATAGCATACAAATACTCTGATCACATAACTCTGGTTACCTACTCAAGGTAAAGTATAGTGAGAAGACTCACCTGGCAAGCAGAAAGCAGATATCCCCACACTTGAATCTCGAACTCGCCACCGCCTAACACGTAAGGCAAATACTCTCATGAATATAACTCTCGACACTAGAATAAATCCTCTCATAACACCCTCTTATGGGTAAAAGACTATTTTACCTCTCTCTTGGCCCAAAGGCCACATCACTGACCAAACCCTAAAAGTCAACGGCCAACCCTTGGTCGAAATCAAAGTCCTCAGTCTAAGTCAACCCCTGACTGACCCTACTCGCCGAGTCAACCCTGTGACTCGTCGAGTTCCCATAATCAGAACTTCACTCAATCTACGACCTAACTCGCCGAGTCACCCCGAGACTCGCTGAGTCCAACAACTCTGAGTCCACTCGCACACGACTCACCGAGTCATCCCTCGACTCACCGATTCTCGACTCAACCAGAGAATATTTGGGACTCTTCGACAAGACTCGCCGAGTCCAAATGGACTCGTCGAGTCCAAGGCTATCTTCAACCTACTCGCCGAGTTGTTCTTCCAACTCGTCGAGTTCCAGGCCATCTTCAAGCAACTCGTCGAGTCGCCCCATGTGACTCGTCGAGTACCACCGGTCTGAATCCATACAGAAGCATCTCAGGCCATGCAATTGATCCAAAACATAGATCTAGTCTCCTACCACTCATCCATCACGTAAAGTGGCAAACTTTACGTGAATCCAAAGAGATCCAAGCCGTTTGCACATTGGGGCTAGGGTTTGGGACATGTAAGCTTCACTAAACACTCCAACACAGGGACTTTCATGCTCTCTGATTCTTCTTCCTTCCAGATCTAAGGTAGCAACCTCAGATCTAACCTCTAGACTTCCCATTTCATCCATAGACAATTTCTCACAAACCCCAAAATGAAGAAACAACATAACAACAGGTCAACAACGAGATATTACCTCTAAGTGATGCCCCAACTGCAATGCAATTCGAATCCAAGCAAAGCCCCTTGCTCCAAGCCTTCAATCTTCCCAAAATTCCTTCAACCATTACTTCTCCAAGCTCCAATCCACTCAACAATGGTGCTTTTCCGTGATTTAGGGTTTTCTAGGGCTCAAGGGGTGATAAAGAGGCTGGGAGGAAAACATAGTGATCTTTATATAAAGCTCAACCCCAAGAATTAGGGTTTTCTCCACTCAGCGCCTACTCGCCGAGTCCATTACACTGACTCGCCGAGTCAGCCACTTAACACGCGACCAAGTCGCGACTCTACTCGCCGAGTCCACACATGGACTCGCCGAGTCACTCTTTCCCAATTTACTCTTTTAGCCCTTCAACTCTACTCTTGATATTTCGGGATGTTACACCTCCCTTGTACCACTTTGGTCAGTCGCCCTTTCCATCCAGTTAACCACCAACCAACTTGTTCACATAGATGAATAATCAAATAGAAAACAAGAAAAATGATGGGAATCCTCTAATCCGAAGCACTCAATTTCGGTTCTGGTAACAAAAATTTTGCAATGAAATATGTCATTGTTTTTTTATGCCATAAAAAATGAGCAAGTGCATCTTGAAGAAGGAAGAGAAGTCCAGCTTTAACATTATGGTTCTCACTTTCTCCATATGTTGAAAAGGTCCCTTAGAAATTATGTCTTGATGATTGTGGATGGAAACAAACATCTGGAAGTAGAATTTGAATTTCACCACTTTAGTAACATCTCTTAGTTTGCTATTAACTTGTTCCTTCATGCTCATATGTGCATATAGTAAGAAAGCCTTGAGCTGATGTAAAGTTTATCCCAAAACAGGTCATGAACATATAGCGTTGTCAGTCCCGTAAGGATCCAAAAAAAGAACAACAGAAAATCATTTTCTATATTAATCAAGAATAAGGAAGAGCTCACTGGTAGGAATTTGTCTATTAAGAATCACCCATAAGAAAGAGAGGTCGAAGACATCGGAAGAGTATGCAGCCCTTGAAGATTTCTTTTTACTCCGTTGCATACGAATTGCCTTTCCAAATTGTCCTAATAGTGAATCACTATGCCTAACAACTTGAACCCTATCACCTTCACTGTTATGTATAACTGATCCATATCAAATATCAACCCTTCAATCTCAAATTTCAAAGTGCATGCTCCTATTATTATCTTGACATCCGAAATATTATTTCTAAAGTGGTTGTGACCCTTCCCTATTTTACAGTTGATGTCAAAGATCCCAAGAGTATCCAAAATTACTCTCTCCTCCCATAAAATCATTCCCCTAAAGATGAATCAGATGTCACCCCAACCAATTCCAAGGCTATACATAACCTTGTAGGATATGGATGTTCCACTTGAACACACTTACCAAAGTTTGCATGAATACAACCATTTATTTCCCATATCTTCATCGGCTTCAACAACAAACCTTATGAAAGAGAATTCACCCGTTGTTGAGATATCAAATTAAGAATGTCATATCTATCTTCGACTATTACTTTTGAAATATTAATGATTCATTCTTCTAAGTTTAGCATTTTACCTCTCAAAGTGATATCAGCGGAAACCCCACGGAATTCCAAAGCAACACATGTATTAGTAGGAAACTGGTCTTCTTCCATCAGATAATGTTCATCATCCTGAACAACATTCCCCAATAATAACACATGAAGTATTCCTTCCAAAAAATTATGAGTCGTCCCATTTCCACATTGATGACATAAATCCTTTTTGTGTTTCTCTTCCCATTCCATTCTAGTAGGCGGGCCTACCCCTCGATATCGTTGAAAGACTAGAGGCGTTTCTGATGAATGAAACCCAGAGAAACATTGATTAGGGTAAGATTTTGACAACTTGACTTGTATCGCCTGATTCATATCTACGGGTATAGACACCTTCGGCCCATTACTGTCCATCACTAGTATAATATAGGCCTTTAATGACACACAAACAATGACACACAATGATTTACGATACGCAAAATTGTGGTTCCTAAAAATAATGTCATCCCTCTAAAAAATTTTGGATTTAAGATGTGCATTTTTGCGTGTCCTAAAATTAATGTCAGAACAAAAAATAATAAAAACACGGAGGACACCCATCATAAAAGGCGTGTCGTGTAAGCATGTCACTTTATAATTTTTTAAACGCGCGTACGAACTATTCATCTCATCACAAAATCATAGGGACCATTATCTAGGGATTTTTTCAAGAATTAACCAGAGTGATTTTTTCAACGTTTTCTACTTTGGCTCACCTCACCTGCCGGCGACCATGGCTTACCTTCATCTCTTCCATCACACACCATAAATGGCTCTTTGAACATTAGTCAATAGTGGGAAAACCAAGGTCGATTCTCTCGGGTTTAGTAACAGATTTGTGAAGAACAGATTATGGCGCTTTGAAGCTATCGACATGAGCAACGATCATGAATAGAAGACGTGAACATCAGTCGTTTCCTTCTTTCAATGTTTCCATATATATTTTAGTCTTTGCAAATAGACAAGGGGCTTCCACAATCAAATAGTTTCATCTTCATCTTCGCTTTGGTGTAGAGAGCGATAGATATTACGTTCAAAAAGTCGACTTACAAAACCTATTGATCAAAAAAAGGGAGACAAAGGAACGAATAGAAAAAACCCTAACAACACTAGAGGCGCTGTTTTTAACCCAAATTTATGTCAGTTTCCATTGAAGTTCTTGACATCCTATCTACTTTAGGCTTCGAATTCTGCGATCCCGTTCGGGAAACCACTGTACCGTTGTTATGGAACTACAAGGATTTTCCGGTCGACACCGCCACTGGTTTGGGAAATCCCCTAGAATTTTTTGTTCCACTCATCTAGATACTCCATCAAACAACGTTTGTTAAAACTCACCAGGTACCACCTTTTCCATAAGATAGACATACCTAACTATAACTCTATGCTTTTGTGGTCACTTAGATTTTTGGTGCTTAACCGTTTTGATGTCTACAGGTCTCCGATTTTGATTATGTTCTTGTGTTTTTTCATCTAAATACATAATTTTCACTTAACATTCATGGGTTCCAGGTTTTGATAATTTTCCTAATGCTTTATAAAAGAATAATCAATCTGTTATCAATATGTTATGATCGTTTGTATATCTTTCTTCAGGTCTTGGTATCTATCTTAATTTCAATATTTTGTTTGTAGGAACTGAATATCTCAAAAAAATCCTTCAAGATGTATGTTAAGCACACTATAGAGGATGAATTTTGGACTTCAGGAAGGGGTCTGCCTATTATTTGTATTTTTTCGGTGTAATAATGGAATTTCAATCTTTTTTCTTTTTTTGTATTTTTTACGGTTCATTTTTTGTTTAATTTTATGTTGCTTTATGTTTATCTTTTTATTGGTGCTTAATCACATGGGATTTCATCAAATGAGATTCATAATTATTTACAAGAGACGAAGATGATGAAGACCTGATGTTATTTGTAAGTTTTTGTATATTTTTAGTTTTTAGATTAGTTTTGGTGCTCTTATTTGAATCTATTTGCAGATGAACCATAAGATTAATGATTTTTTGCTACATAGCTTTGTGAAATTTCTTCCTCTATAAGGTTTATACAGGACTTAAAGTTTTTTTTCACGACATTTTCTAAGTTTCTAAAGTATAATAAGGCATAATAGATGAATTGATGAATGAATAATGTCAAAATTACTTTATGGCTGTTATGTCTATCTGAGCTGAGAATCTAGGGTTTCAAAATATGGGTTTTTTCTTTCCTCTTTTGTTTTGGGTGTACGAAATTCCCTCTGTTCTGTAGCTCAAACGCTACATAACTTCAACACCATTTTCCTAATCAAAATACGGGTTTTCAACATAAAAAAACTTCATCTCTGAATCAACAAGCTATATCGTTCCAATCTAGCCTAAGAGACAACAAATCTGAGATTAGTATGATTGGGGATTTCCATCGAATGAATGGTACACATGACATTATATTTTTAGGGAATTCTGCTATAGCAAACAACATTAGTTCAACATTCACAGGAATTTGGAATTCTTGTGATTCTATTATTGTTGATTCTGCCCCAGAATTGAAGCACAAAGCAGGTGTGGCTATGGAGTGGTCTGTTGAAGAACAATATAAACTAGAGGAAGCATTTCCCAAGTATGTATTTTGCTCTACCGGGTTCACTTTGTGTTACATTTTCAAAATTGGACAAATTACATTTATGCCCTTGACCTTGTTCAATATATGTAGATATGTTGATGAACCTGAAGTTATAAGGTATATCAAGATTGGTGCCACATTTCCTAATAAACTGTTCGTGATGTTGCTCTCAGGTGTAGACAGATGGCGGCGAGTTTCTCACTCTTTTTTATAATAGATAACACATTAATTGCTTTTTATTAATTAAATTATTAAAAAAGTAAAAACTTTACATTAAGAGATTGTTTTTTGACCATTATCTTTGCATCATATCTTTCACAGAGAAAAATACGAAAACATGAGGAACTCAGTTTGTGGAAGAAGTCAAAAGACAAGAAGGTATATGACTATGCAACGACTTATTTGTTATTTATGCTATGAAAATATATATGAAACAACTAATTTCCTTTTTGTGTTCACATCAACTAGAAATGATAACCATGTCTAACTGTGTATATTGGGGAACTCTGGAATTAGAATTAGAATAATGTTGCTCCAGTTGATTGTAAATTTGTCTATTCTATAATAACATGCTTCTTCTTTTTGTAGGGCATATGTAAAATATGGCATTCACACAATATCAAGTAGAAATCATATCTGGATAACTCATACCTGCATTAGATTTGGATCAGACATGCATTAGATTTAGATTAGTAGTTTACCTCCGCATCATAAAAGCTTCAAGATTTTCTATGGGTTTTTTCTCTAGGGTTGTTTTATTGGAATAAAAAAGGAAAAATGAGAAGAAAAAATAAAGGATTTTTAATAGGTCTAAGGATATTTCAATTAAAGAATCTGCAGCAAGGGCATTGAGTTTGGTTTCTTGTAGATCTGTAAATTTAGAAATGGTTTATGTTGGGTTTCTTGTAGATCTATAAAGTTAGATCTGTAAAGTTAAAAAAGGAAACAACCAATGATTGCTTCACTCAAAGTGAGACTATTTAAAATAGACAATTTTTTTGATCGTGTATAGATTAATTGCCTTTTTCTGGCATATTTAAAGCATAGGGCTATTTTGCAGGTGAATCTGATGGTCAAGATGTGATTACTTTGACTATGGTAAGTTATATGATTTACTTGTAACTTTTAAGTATTTTTCTATATGACATGTTGACCTGGCATAAAACATTCACACAGCTCAGAAAAGCTTAACACGAGTATGGTTACTCACAACTGACTTGCTTAATGCTACCCTACAAATATAGTCACTTGATGAACCTTGAGACATATTTAGAAAACTTGCATTATTTTTTTTTCTGAACAATTTCTTTTGCCATTATGTTCAAGTTATCAAGTCTTTATGAAGTTTATTTGTTTATTTGTGAAGGTGAACACATTCAAAGGACTCACCTTAAAAGGAGCTCCAAAATCTGCTAACGTTTATGAAGGGCATTTATGGGACAATTATGAATATCTCTATGTTTCTATTTGGATTTGCTAGCATTACACATAGTTTTTGGTGATTATGTTAATATATGATTATACAACTTGTTCAATATCGGATTTGCTAGCATTACTCATACTTTGCTTGAAATGTTGGATGATGGAAGGTTGATCGATGGTCATCAACCAGAGAAAGGTATTAAATATTAATATTGTTTCCAACTTATTATTAATGTTATCTCCATTGTGTCAAAGCTAAGGCACCTGTTCTGTCTAGGTTTACTTTTAATTTTTTAATCATTCAATCAAATCATTAATCACTTCTAATGTTGTTCTTTTACAGGTGGTTGGAATTGGACCTAAAGTTGGTTGCTGATATAGGAATAGTGGGTGCTCCAAATGCAGGAAAAACATGTTCTTAAGTGTTATTAGTGTTGACATGTAGTGTTGTTTGACATGTAATGTTAGGTAACTTGCTTGGTATTTAGATGAAATTGAATGTTTTGGTATATCTTTGGTTTTTTATTATGTGTATTCACGTTGTAAATGCATATCGTAAATGCGTTTTGTAAATGTGTATCGTCACTAGCAGCTGAAGTTTATGACGTTCAAATGCGTGTCATCTTCATTTATGACAATGGATTTAATGATATGCAATGCGCGTCCTAAACGTACGTCGTAAGGTTACGACAAGTAATAGCGTGTAGTCTTCCTTTATGTCAGGGGCTTCCTTGACACGCATTACATGTCATAGAGGTACATCATAAATGCATGTCGTAAGTTTACGACGCGGAAAAGCGTGTCGTCTTTCGTTATGACATGGCCTTCCTTGACACACATTTGCTTGTCGTCTGAGCGTTTTACGATAAGAATTGCATGTTATTAAAGGGTATTTTTGTAGTAGTGCATCCTGCCAAACATAGATGGTTCCTGATCTGAATCATCAATTGGGTTTAACCCTTGCTGAGGACGGAAACAAGTCTGGGATAGAATACTGGACAATGGACGAAATGTTTCCTCTACGTTATTGGAAAGTTCATCTGGAGAATCAGATCATGAATAGGTTTGCTTTATGGTTTCCAATTTCTCACCAGTTGACGGCTTTCCCTGGTCGGCAACCCCCATTAAAGTCAAGAATCCCGCAATTGAAGGTGGGATGACCATCGGTGCAACTGGAATATCACGTGAAGGCTAAATAGCACCAATAGAACACATCAGATTGTTAATCTCAGATTGTAAACCGCTAACCATGCCATCCGTATCCCTAGAAGCATCACCAACCATCGGTTCTAGTAACGTCACTATCGAATATGGAAAATTGCTAATATCAGAGGAAAACTCGGGATCCTGTTGTTTCATCCAAGTCAACATCGCTTTTCAAAATTCTCTTTCTAATTCCTGTTCACGGGCCATAATTTTGTGAAATCCATTGATATCAAATATGGTGAAACAAAGGTAGATCGTAGCAGGTCGGACCAATGATGAAGAATTGAAAAAAAAAACAAAAACAAACAACAATAGATAATTGATAGAGAAAACTGGAATTGATATTGGGGATTGAATGAAACAAGATAGAGAATACAATCTCCTTATAGGATGATTGCGTAGGGATGAATCCCTCTCTCAATGGCCTAACCAATGAGCCAATTTTACTCTAGAGACTACCACCAATCTAAGATATTTATGCCTGACTACCAATGTAATCATACCCTCTATTTTTTTAGCAAACCTCTAACAAACTCTATTTAGGAATTACCGTTATACCCCTTTCAGTATTTAACTATCTAATAGGAGGCGAAAGAGAAAATGGGGAAATGGTGAAGATGGCATAGGAAAATCCATGTCGAGGGTTCAATATCAAAGATTTACTTTTGGAACCCGACGAAGGCTTTCCAAATATGTTTCAAGAAGACAAAATTTTGAGGAATTGTGTCTCAAAAGAAAACGTTCAATGATTTCCAAACGCAAGCAAATTGTGGGTTCTATCAGGTAAATGGAGCGTGGAAGCGCAAATGCTTCACCATAATCGAACCCAAAAAAATTAATCCATCGCTACTCTTTCCGCATCCCTAACGGAAAATCGAGGAAATCCATCGCTACTCCTCTAACATCCCCAACGGAAAACCGAGGATTGAAGCATCATAAAGGAACTCGGCCAAAACTGTAGATGAATAAGAGAAAAAAACCAATGATCAGACGGAAATTCGAGGATAATTAGAATAGCAAAAAGAATCAAGTCTTCCTTTGTACTATGAATACAAAAAACAGCATATGGAAAGAGTTTGGTTGGAGAAACCTTAGAAAAACAGGTGCAAGGGGAAGCCGAATGAAGCCTAAGCTCCAAACTACCTGGTATTGAAGCTGGCTCAATATCTAGGACTGTTCACCAGCTGATACGCCTTCTAATATGTATAATAATATATTTTTTTAGCATATAATTTCACCATGTGTAAAACACAATTGTGTGTCTAGTTTACTATAAATTACAAGCATGGATAAATATCACCGATTATAAATTAAATGGAAACATGTGTATTATACAAACGGATCTAATTAGACGTAACTGTTCATATGCACGCTAAGAGCCTACAATCCTACATGGCATATATACAAAAGTGATTAAATTAAAGATTATAAACGATAAAATATACACTATGGTGCCTTTGTATTGAGAGGTTCCTTAACTGTACATCCTTTCAAGATTAATGCGAATGCTTCCACTCTTCATCACGAGCATCATCCCTTTGTTTGACCTTCAAAAGTAAGAACATTAATGTGTTTTTTTTTTTTTTTTTCTTGTTCTTCTAATTTGGATGCTTAACAAGGCTGGCCAGGCGTGCATGTGAGTTTGCCAGCATCACAAGTGAGCGCCTCAACGGGTTCAGGGCAAGGTGGAATCAGACCGGCGCTCTGTTCAGGGGTTGGTTCCCACTCACCACCTGATGGTACGAAAAAGGCTCCATTTAGGAAAGTGTCATTTTGCGTTTTCCACTTCCAGTTCTTCCACTCTTCCTCAGGGGCATCATGCCTTTGTGTCACCTTTAAACATCATATTTTTCTCTTAGATCAATACAAAGAGGCAAGTATCATTTAGTACGTAAGCTACGTACATGCATGGGTGGTTTTGCATATATACCTGTTTCGATTTAGCCACATCAGGAGCCAAAAAACGGTTGCCTTGGCTCAAGATAGTAGGGTCACTACTACCACCAACGGCATACATTTGCCATTTGTGATAGTCATTGTTAACGACCTGGAAAAAACCATATCGACACCTAGGCAGTCTTTGGATACATCCTTCTCCAAACTTATTGTATGCGACAGTGACTTGCATGTTTTTATCTTGAGTATGTGTAATATCTGCCCCTAGCAACATCACCTGTTCGTGGATTACAACGTTTTACAGATTTTTTGTATATAATTAATAGGAAGATATGTATATTACTTGAGATACCAAATGCTAATTCTTACTTTGTTGTGACTGGTGAATTTGCAGTTGGAAATGGTTACACAAGTGGCGCCCTGTGTGACATCGACAAGCCCATCTGGGCCATCATTGAGTGTCACATGGTCGATCCATATCTTGGAAGAACCATAAATATAGATACCATCACCATCGTTTTTTGCTCTTGACCTAGAATGTGTCTCTGAATCACTAATCATACCACCTTCCGTTACTTTTACATGGTGGATATGGATTCCATGAATAATGACATTCTTGACATTCCCAATGGTGAGACCTGCACCATTAGCAATCTCGACAGAGGCACCTCTACCATCGATTGTCTTGTCGTTACATATCACGAGCTCATGTTTCAGCGTGATCACCATATCTTTGGTGAAGATGATCCATAAAGGTTTGTCTCTCGTAACTCCAAAACGAAGTGTCCCTTCCTTTGGTTTGTCACAAGCGTCATCTGAAGGATCAGTCACCTCATAGATTTCACCACCTTTGCCACCTGTTGTTCCTTTTGCAAAACCAAGGGCGCAATCTGCTAATGCTTGACGATTTTCTGCCCAATCGGGTTTGCACCTCCAGCACTTGTCTATTGGGTTTGCTGCTTGACAAGCATGCAGGTCCCTCCTTGTTGAATTTGATCCGGGTAAAGATCTACAGGAGTTTTATATATGAATAAGAGCTACTACGACATTGTTGCGATTAAAGTTAAATGTCAAACCTTATTTAATTCCAGGTCTTGAGGTTAGCTAATTGCTTATATTCATGAAGAAACATACTCACCCTTCAGTTTGATTCGCGATATTTGCTGTAAGGATCTTCGCAGGGATTTTAGCTGTATTCTCTTCAAATTCTACGTTGTTGGATGTGATTGAGAAGGTGGATGTCCGAGCTAATATAACCGGCACCAAGAAAACTAAGGCCTGGGTAATACAAAGTAAGAAATAATGTTTTCTCATTGTTTGATTCTCTTTTCCTTCCGTTTTACAAAGTTCTTTCTCAAAAGTACCTAAAACAGTACACTATATATGATGATTTTTTTTTTTTTTTTGAATCACTAGCTTTATTATTCCACGATAAAAGCAAGTGATTCCTTCAACATATTTGGTTTTGGAGATCTTCTTTGTTTTAAATAAGAAGATTTTGCTTATACATATTTAGTAATAAGTGGTTTACCAACAAACACCTGATAACTACATTTGCTACTAATTAATAACGGACACCAAGAGAAGAAATGACCGCAAACCAAGGACAACACCTCATTCACAGATTTTGCTCGGTCCAAAAAAGTGACTAAAATGAGAGACTTTAGATTTGATGGCCTTCGTTATCCATTTTTATTAAAGTTTAGCTGTTTGGAAAAATTTAAAGTGGTACAAAATGATTCATCCATTTGACCTTAGGCTATCTCCAATATGGAGAGCTGAAGTGGGAAAATTGATAAGGCCGATAGAAGGTGATGAGGTGGTTAAATGTGTAATGGATAGAAGGTGATGAGGTGGTTAAATGTGTAATGGAGGGTAAATGTGGTTTAGAGTTTAATGGTCATAAATAAAAAAACAAATTATTTTATACTTATTAATAAATTTTATCAAACTAAGTAAATAAAGTTTTTATTATAGTTTATATTTTTAATTATCTAAAACAATAAAAAAAAATTTTAATGTTTTAAAATGATAATAATGTATTTGTATTATAGTTATATTTTTATTAAATAATGTATTCTTTATATATATATATATATATATATATATATATATATATATATATATATATAGAGAGAGAGAGAGAGAGAGAGAGAGACATTACAAGAAATATACCCTTAACCTGCAACACTATTACCGACGACATATTTGTCGCCGCTAAAGAGTTAAAAAAAGTCGCCGCTAATAGTTAAAGAAAAAACACGTTGTACCCTTCCCTCCAGTTTGTCGCCGCTGTTGCTAAAAGTTGCCGGTAAAATAGCAATCTACTTTAGCATCGTAAAATGCATGTTAATTTGGTAGTTTTGGTTTTGTGGTGATTATCTGCTAAAAAGTTTGGTAATTTGGTTTTTGTCTCAAGTGCAAGAAATAGCAATGAACTTTGGTTTTCTATTTTAGTTTAAAAATAGCAATCTACTTTAGCATCGTAAAATGCATGTTGAATTGGTAGTTTTGGTTTTGTGGTGATTATTTGCTAAAAAGTTTGGTAATTGAGTTTTTGTCCCAAGTGCAAGAAATAGCATTCTACTTTGGTTTTCTATCTTTGTTTAAAAATAGCAATCTACTTTAGCATCGTAAAATGCATGTTGAATTAGTAGTTTTGGTTTTGAGGTGATTATTTGCTAAAAAGTTTGGTAATTGAGTTTTTATCCCAAGTGCAAGAAATAGCATTGTACTTTGGTTTTCTATCTTTGTTTATAAATAGCAATCTACTTTAGTATCGTAAAATGCATGTTGAATTGGTAGTTTTGGTTTTGTGGTGATTATTTGCTAAAAAGTTTGGTAATTGAGTTTTTGTCCCAAGTGCAATAAATAGCATTGTACTTTGGTTTTCTATCTTTGTTTAAAAATAGCAATCTACTTTAGCATCGTAAAATGCATGTTGATTTGGTAGTTTTGGTTTTGTGGTGATTATTTGCTAAAAAGTTTGGTAATTTGGTTTTTGTCATAAGTGCAAGAAATAGCAATGTACTTTGGTTTTCTATCTTAGTTTAAAAATAGCAATGTATTTTGATAGTTTTTGTTTATGTTTGATGATGTAACTTATAAGTTTATATATATTGTTATTAATTATGTAGTTGGAAAATCTTCGTGCAATGCTCCTCGACCCGGCATGTAGGGATGAGCTTTATTCGTTTTTTCAATCCCAAAATAATCAAGGAAGCGATGGGAACGACGATGATGGTATGTAAGGATGGGTTTTATTTTCATATGTTGTCACGTTTTGCTACTTGGTAGATTGTAAAAATTTTGTTGTTTTGCTACTCGGATATTATGACTTTTGATATTTAATTGTATTTGGATGTTTATTTGTAATTTGCATTGACACTATTATGTTTGATATTTAATAGGATATTTGTTTTGTAATTAGTGTCGACACTATTGGTTTTGATATTTAATCGAATATTGTTATTACCGACGACACTTTTACCGGCGACATTATCACCGGCAACCAAAATCATTAATTAAAAAAAATTTAAAAATTGAAAAAAAAATACCGGCGATAGAAGTTATTACCGGCGACAGAAGTCATTACCAGCGACTAGCTTATTAGTGGCGACAATACTCGATAGCGGCGACAGAGTCAATAGCGGCGACTTTTATCATTAGCGGCGACAAACTGATCAATAGCGACGAAGCAGTAGTGGCGACTTAGTACCGACGACTTTTGTCGCCGGTAATGACCTTTTTCCTTGTAGTGAGAGAGAGATACATAATACAAAATTGACTTAAAAAGCATGTCATTATAGACATTTTATGATGTTTTTTTTTCATTCAATTTGTAAGTAAAGTTGCTTCATTAATGATAAGTTGTAGCGATGTTTAATTGTGGTGACTATAACCTATATAAATGGTTGGTACAGGTAAAAAACCGCTAGTATAAGATACCAATTTTTGTGGTTTTTTTCAAAAAATTTACTATAAAAGTCATAAAAAAACTATTTTTCGTCACAGGTTATTTTATTTCCATTACTATTGCTAACTTTTAGTGACACATGTTTTTTTGTCATAACTATTGGAGACTTTTTGTCACTCATTTTTGTTAGGGTGCAAAGTTATCATTCAATGTGGCTTACCCTCTTTGGAAATAGGTTTAGCATTTCCTATAAATAGAAAATGAATGACTCCCATTTTATGTAACAACCAATATTAGAGATTAATCTAGTGGGAGAATTTTTGCAAGACCCACTTTGTAATAGTTTACTAGATCTAATGATAGCTTAAACAAGATTATTTACATTGTGTGTTGTAACATCCCGGAATCGCAAGAGTAGAGTTGAAGGGCTAAAAGTGTAAGTTTTAGAGGGTGACTCGGCGAGTCCATGGATAGACTCGGCGAGTCAGGTCGCGACTATGGTCGCGTATCAAGTGGCCTACTCGGCGAGTAGGTGCTGTATGGAGAAAACCCTAATTTTCGGGGTTGAGCCCTATATAAAGAGCATTATGCCCCTCCACAGCCTCCCTTATTGCCCCCTAGAGTCCTAGAAACCCTAAATTCGTGGAGAGTCCCATTGTTGAGCAAATTAGAGCTTGGAGAGGTGTTGGTTGAAGAAATCTTGAAGGAGAAGTGGCTTGGATCAAAGGGCTTTGCTTGGATTCGAGTTTCATTGCTATTGAGGCATCCTTTGGAGGTAATACTTTCGTTCTTGGGCTGTGTTTTCCTAGTTTCTCATTTTGGGGTTGTGTGGGGAGCTTGGTTGTGTGGCATCTTGATGTTTAGAGGATGGATCTGAGGTTGCTACCTCAGATCTGGAGTGGAGAAGATCTTAAGAGCATTAAAGCCCCTGTTCTTGTGTTGTTAATGGAGCTACCATGTCCCAAACCTTGGTTCTAAGGCGAATAAGGCCTAGATCTCTTTAGATTCACGTAAAGTTTGCCACTTTACGTGATGGATGGATTGTAGGAGGTTGGATCTATGTTTTGGATCAATTGCATGGCCTGAGATACTTCTGTATGGATTCAGACCAGTGGTACTCGACGAGTCACATGGGTGGACTCGACGAGTTGTTTGAAGATGGCCTGGAACTCAACGAGTTGGAAGAACAACTCGGCGAGTAAGTTGAAGATAGCCTTGGACTCGACGAGTCCATTTGGACTCGGCGAGTCTTGTCGAGGAAGTCCCAATATTTCTGGTTGAGTCGATGAATCGGTGAGTCAAGGGATGACTCGGTGAGTTGGGTGCGAGTGGACTCAGAGTTGTTGGACTCGACGAGTCTTGGGGTGACTCGGCGAGTTGGGTCGCTAATTGAGGGAAGTTCTGAGCATAAGGACTCGGCGAGTCATCGGGTTGACTCGGCGAGTAGGGTCAGTCAGGGGTTGACTTTGACTTGTCCAAGGTTGACCAGTTGTCTTCCAGGGGTATTTTGGTAATTAAGGATATTTATTGAGTTGTATGTTTTGATGTTCAGTGGAGGAGTTCGTGTCAGAGTTCGGAGCAGCGGGATCTTATCCTTTCAGTCGGCAGTTTTGAGGTGAGTTATCCTCACTATATCAACAGGGTCTAAGGCACCAAGGCCGGCCCTTTATTGGATTGAGATTCGGATATGATTATTATGTTATTGTTTGATGTGTCTGCATCCTGGTAGCTAGGATGGTACATGCTAGGAGACCTTGTTAAGGTCAGTTTCCCGAGATATCCAGAGTGATGCTATGCTAGTGACCGGTTAGGTCGGTAACCTGGGTAGGGTAATGATATGCTATGTGATCTGTTTGTTCGGTTTGTTGGCTATGACTGTTATATGATTGTATGTTTTGTGCACATGGTTGTTTGGACTAGAGATGGGTTGAGGCGGGTCCTGCTTTGTGCTATAGGCCAAGATACCCAGGGCGGACCGGTTATTCCGAAGGCCCAGCGAGCGGTCCGGATAAGCTGTAGGCCCCACGAGGGCGGACCAGACGTGCCGAGGCTCGGAGAGTGGACCAGGCCGACTGAAGGCCCGATGCGGGCGGACCAGTCACACTGTAGACTCAGAGAGTGGACCAAGTGGGTTGAAGGCCCGATGCGGGCGGACCAACCCCACTGTAGACTCGAAGGACACGACTTGACCTGGAGGATGGATCTGGTGGACTGAAGGCCCAATACGGCGGACCAGTCACACAGTAGACCCGATATGCATGGTTGTTCTATGTTCTGTGATGTTATGTATGTTTAATATGTCTTCGACCGGAAGGTCGCAGCCTGGATGGGCGTATACGTGGTTGGTATTTTGGGGGTATCTCACTAAGCTTTCGGGCTTATAGTTGTGGTTTAATGTTTTTCAGGTTCTTCAGGAGACCGTGGCAAGGCGAAGGCGCGATCGTACCGCTCCTCATGATTTTGTAGCAATGTGATTCTGGAAATACTCTAAATGATTTGTACTGAAAACCTTTTGTAAACAATTTAATGAAAATCGGGTTGTTTTGAAATTTTTAAATTGGTTGTATTTTTCGGATGTTACAAGTTGAAGTGGGTTAGATCTAATCCTAC